TCGTTCGTCGTTCCGGTACGAGAAAATATTATATCGCTTCTTTTTTTATTAAGCGACTGCTATTGCAAGCGCAACGAAGTTTGGGAAGTGATCAAAAACCAGTTTGTGTTGATTTATGTCTAATGATGATTAGACCACTACTCTTCGCTCCTTTTTTTTCATTACAGCTTTTAATATTTACCGAAATCTGAAGCAAACTGTAGTGGTAATGAATAAGGTCAAAAATCCAGAGAAGCAGCTAGCGTGTTACCACGACACTTTCACAGACTATCCACCAGGCATCGTAAGGCTTTAGACAGATGGCGAATTGAACTGCATCTTGTTGGCAAGCAACCAAAACCGTATATCGTACCCATACCTTGACATTATGATCAGCTGTTTTTATCTTCGTGTTTTTTTTTTCTACTGGTGCAGTTAGCAGATTCGCCATTTTTCTATTTTGAGCTTCTCTCATTCACAGTCGTTCGAATAGATCCTTCCAACACGTTGACGGTCTTTCCTGTGTTCTTTTTAACATTGCGCGAGTACTATTCCATAACTTGCTTTGTTCATCCGTTTTTCATTGTTGCCAAATAACCACAGTTCTTTTTTCTAACATACATTCTCTTACACGTACATTGAATACGGGTCTGAATTATGAACTCCTATATTCATACTGCCCTTAAATCTTAATTCAGATTCATCACACAGACGAAGTTCGCATCGTTCTTATTTGGCGCAGGGAAGCACGAATTGTTTCTAGGAATGTGTGGTTAGCTTTACCAGATGCTCTTGCTGCCGGTGAAGAAGTTCTATTACTTTGGATTTAAGAGTGCTAAGATTGATAAACAGTAGAGTCACGAACATTTCACTACGTGCACTGATAAAAAATCGAATTGAATGTTTCTCAAACCTTGAACTATGCGACGATGACTTACCAAAATCAAAAAGTTTTTAAAATCTCCCAAAGTCGTATTGCGAATCATACAGACCGTAAGCAGAAGACAAGCGAAAAAGGAATTGCTGAAAAGCATTTTAACTAGTTCGATAATGTTAGCATGTGCCGAAAAGCAGATAATCATACACAAAAATGTTGGACTTGGGTAAAAAACTGAAGGAAAAC